CAACCACTAAATGTAAAGACATTTTAAAAGTCTCTTTTAAACTATCTCTGAAATGTGAGATTATGCCAATTATGAAGTTTAAAATTTTGCCTGGGTAATGTCCTGATATACAGTATTTCATTTTAGACCACAATGGAAGTATTAATTTGGCTTCCTTAATTTTCAAGTTTTGCTTCAAGCTTTTTGTAATGAGTAAATGGAAGTACTACCGTAAGTTATGTGGTACCACAATGCCACTGACCTGCTACTCTTTATTTAAGGTCTTCGAGTGAAACAGCATGGACATCTTTAGATCACAATCCATTTTCAGTGTCTACACATGCCCCTTTGCTTCACACAAACCAGCTACTGAGTAATCCCCAAAATAAGTTATATTCATACAAAAGGTGTTATGGATTAAAGTATGTCACCCCCAAATTTGCGTTGCATTTCTAGCCCCTATATCAGTGGACATAAGCTAACATAATATAATGTAATCACCTTTCATAAAGCAATGTAGTCAGTTGGTTGAGGTCAGACCAGTATAGGGTGGATCCAAATTCTAATTGATTCTGAGTGTTATAAAAAGCAGCATAAACACATAAACATGGGTGCACACACAGGGAGATACAGAGGTCATGTGAAGGATCCTCTCCGAGAAATGGAACCACTGAATGATGGCAGACGCCAGAAACTAGGAGAGACGCTTCTCAGGCGGAATTGGCTCTGCGAAGAGCCTCACTCGGACTTTCAATCTCCAGAACTGTGAGAAAATCAATATCTGTTCTTTAAAGACCTCAGCCACCACAAGCATTTGTGTTACAGTAGCACCAGGCAAGCAAGACAAAGGCAATCGACAGAAAGAGAAATCAAGTTTCAACATCCACCTTGTATCAATCAGAAGGAACAGTTTGATACCCTAGAAATCTTGTTCATTAACTAGAAATCAATGCTGCCTTGAGCAATAGGAATTTGGTTTCTCTCACTCTGAATATGAGCGACATGAAGGTCTGGGTGGGGGAAAACTTTGATCGTTGGCCCTGTTTCAAGATTCTGGAGCCGAAACAGCTTTCCCAGAACAGAAGGGTATGAGTTTGATGATCAGGATTCCCTGCAATAGAAGGAGAGTGTGTTGGCTCCCTCCCTGCTCTCTCCCAGGTACTGACAAGCCCACTAGATTTTTACAATGCAGAACCTACGAACGTTACTGTACAGAACATACGAGTCTTTGAAATAATAGCTGTTCTCTGGGAACCTGGCAACCACAGACTGTCTTTGTCTCCCTCCTCAGACCTGTTGCTATAGCAATGAAGAATGTGCTCTGGAATGCCTGTATTTGTGGGGAGGGGGGGGAGTTTTCAATTGCTGTCAGTAGTTTGCAATCTTTTCTTGCAGTCATCTAAGTTTATGCTTTAGGTTTTTTTCCCTTAAGTTTAGTTTGGGGCACTTTTTATTTTTAATCATTTTATTGGGGGTTCTTACAACCCTTATCACAATCCATCCATCCATCCATTGTGTCAAGCACGTTTGTACATTTGTTGAGTTTGGGGTACTTTTATGTGCTTTTCCCCCTCCTCTCTACATAGATTGTGAACTGTTTAAAGACCAAAAGAAGCCTGCAGATTACAATGTTGCTTTTCTATAACTTTATACATAATGGACACCCAGTAAGAGACATTTATGAGAAATTGCGTAAGGACAATCACAGTGTGTGATCTACAAAACAATTTTTGGTATAAAATAATGGAATGGAACCAGATTTTTATTTCACAGTGGTTTTTATCAGACCTTGCACGCGGACCTGATTCTAAGCGATTTACAGGCAGGAATTCACTTAGTCCTACAGCAAGTCTATGAAGTAATCCCCATTATGATCTCTACTTTACAGACTATACAGGTGAGGCCATCGCTCAAGGTCGTACAGTAGCAACTGAAAAGTCAACCGTATAGATGCCGGTCATCTGTTGCTGGAATTCCTGCTCTCAAACTCTAAACTTACAGCTTGAGGTCATCTCTGGGAACTAGTGAGACTGGCTTTGAGTCCAGCTCCACTAAGTCTGTTGAGTTCACCTGAAGT